CGTAACCAATTATGGGACAACGATTTTTCATTTCACTTAATTTTTGCATATATATCGGTCATCTATACATATGTGTGTTGTGTGTATTAATGAAACACAAGTTGGTAATTCATAGGTCAAATTATGCAATCTAAAAAAATTATAGTAAATCATAAGAAATACGTAAAATTATGTAACCGCAAACAAGCAATTATTAAAATCTAAGTTGGTTTACCATAAATTTGGATCTAGTGATACTAATTTTGTTGGTCTGAGATTCAGTCCAAATTAACTGTATATGGAAAATGGTTTGGTAGTTTTGTTTTCATTATTTCTTGCATAAATTACTTTGTATTTGTGAAGAATATATATCTTTTTCCGCAGTTTACCACATTAATTGACACATCATTGAACTTTTTTGATTTAGAGTGTCATGGTTTTTCATGCAATCATTTGCAAACGTGGCATTTGCGGACGTTGAACGTTTTTGACGTCAATCATAATAACATGGTTCGTATCATTCCATTTTTATTTATTGATTAATGTTTATATTTATAGCAAAAAACCAAAAACCAAAAATTTAAAAACCAAAATCCAAAAGCCAAAATCTAAAAACCAAAAACTACTTAAAAACTAGTAAACATTCAAGGCCACAATTAATCTATTTACTACATCTTAATTAATTTGTTTTCTTTTTTTTGAGGTGTCAAGAGAAACTAATTTGTGGAAGAAACAAAATTTGTGTGTTTTACCACCCATTTTATATGTCACCGGTTCGAATAATAAGACTTTGTTTCATATGGATATATAATGTATAATTATATGATTACTACTATATATGATTGAAGACTTATTAGCTATGAGATTTGACTCGAGTCTCGTGACTCAGGTGGTTAACCACAGGAAGGAAAAGACAAATAAGAATTTGTTTTTAGCTTTTCTCTAAATGAATCTAAAACGAAACAATATTTATACAGAAATAACGGAATTGTTGTCAATTATTGTTTGTAGTGGGAACGTGAGATAATTAGATATAACTATTTTATATAAGTATATAACAATCTAGGAGAATCTTATACCTTTGTCGTCACAGTGAGTCAGTGACTACTATTGGATAAAAATAGTATATTAAACCTTAGATTTTAATATATCGTGTCTAAATTAAACATCGATTGAATGTTAAGCCATAAAACAAAATAATGATATATAGAGGTCACCACTAGATATTATATCATTTGGGTTTTACACAATCATAATATTTTAGTGATCTATCTTAAAAACTAAATTCTTAACAACAACAACAAAAAGTAGGCATGACATCAGAGTAATCGCAAGAAGCCATTACGTAAACCTAATCTCAAATAATTAAGCAAATAAAAATAAACCCAGATTACAAGCTTCCAATTGGATTAAACTGAACAATAAAACCAGCCCAAAAATTAAACAACATAATCAAATTATACTTTCTATTTTTATTTATTCAATTAAAAACACATGCGGATAGATGAAATTTACCAAAATAAAAACATAGTCATCTTCAATATCCTAGATTTTTTTTTAAAAAAGAACTCTAACAGCTGGACTAGACTCTCTCATGATTATTTGGTTCATACATTACCTTTTACCAGTTGAATTTGGTCAAAACATTCATATCACGTTTACATATACGTACGAAAATATCTTAGCTTTTTGGGATAAATGACACATGTCTTGCGAACGTCAAGTTTCAAGATATATTAATACCTTTTGCGGTTGATAATGGTAAAGAGAAACAGTATAGAGTTGAACATATTACATTTTATCAAAAAAAAAAATATACTGTATAACATTACAAGAGTTTAATCTGTACCGATAAAGAAGTATACACATATCTATATATAGATATATATTTTTATTTTTATACAAAAATGTTACAGTGTAATGTTTTGTTTTGTTTTTAAAGCTAAATATTTTTATATTTGTAATGTTTAATAAATATTATACCGATGCTCCAAAACTACTACATTACGTTCCTTTTTAATTTTTCCGCTACCTTATTATGTTTCTCATTCGTAAAAGATTTGGCCTCTAATGGACGCGAACCTCAAATAGATTTTCAGTAATAATAATAATATTAATATTATGTATATATGATGTTTAAAATTTCATTTAGGTGTTAATTACAATATTTAAAAATTGCTTATGTTTAAATCTGATACGTATTAACCTTGATTTACTACTGTGTTTTTTTTGGTAAATTTGATTAGTTTCTTATATTCTACTCCAATACTTATATAATCGAGCAAAACATATAGTCTAGCTAGTAGTTCGTATAAATGTCATCGTTATATATATTACTATTCTGATTCACATCAAATATTTAATTAGACCAGCAAAAAAAAATTAAATCACATAACCCAATTAAACCAGTTACTTAAATTAATTAATCAAACTCCAAAACTAACTTATCAGCCATTAAAAAAAAAAAAAACTTAACTAATCAGCCATTTTGGTTAATTCGATAATCTTACCAATTTGGCAATGATCATATGTTTTTGACTTGGGAGCCTTAAAATCAGTGCGATTTAAAAAAACCTTCCATATATGTATGTGTGCATGTACAAGTACGACGACAAAGCAAAGGTGGTTACGTACATATCTATCTACTGGCAAAACAAGAAAAGGTTTATACGATTATTGGCACAATGGCACTCTGTGTCTAAAGTTTGCCACTTGTAACGCTAACAGAGCTTTTCTATCTCTAATGCGCGCGTCGGAGAGGCCTGACGTAATGAAAATGATTTTACTTTTTGTTTCCCGACAAAATATTTATCAAGCTTTTTTTTCAAACTATTTACTGTAAGAGAACATTAAAATAAAGTAAAATAGGATTCCGAAAAAGGTATAATTAGTTACAAGAAATTGCATGATTCAAGATTTGTTTATTGCAAGAGAAATTGTGATTCACATTTAATAAATTAACTTGTGTAACACAAGTTGTGTTATATATTGTATACTCCCTCCGTCCCACAAAGATGTATTTTTTAGAAATTTCACATTCTTTAAGAAATAATGTATAATGACAATTTTAACCTTTTAACCTTTTAACACATTTTAAATAATATATTATTTATTATTATTTAATAAGGGTAAAATAGGTAAACAGTTTTAAATTTGACATTGGAAATACAAAACTTCTATCTTTGTGGGACAAATTTTTTTTCTAAAAAATACATCTTTGTGGGACAGAGGGAGTATATGTTTAATGATATAAATGGATTCATTTTTTGCCTCTCAGATTAGTTACAACTTCAACGAATCACATGTATATAACATAGTAAAGTTTATAGTTTTATGCACATGTAATATTAAAAGATATGCTATTAATTTAGGTCTATTGATAACTACATCACTGAACAACTAATCTAGTAATGGTTGTTTTGGAGGAAGAGTATTATAGCAATTTCAAAACAATAAGAAAAAGTGTATGCTTTGTATTAATTGAACTAACCTAAAACCTGAACACTTCTCAAAATGATAACCATGTGAGACATATACATATTGATGCAATAACAAGTAGAGTTTATTTTTATTACGCTAATGATTGGTTATTTAAGGTATTTATCAAGATTATATTTAGTCTCTAAATATGATCCAGAGTATTTCTTATTTAGATATCCACAATATGTACTAGGACAAGCTAAGTATATAACTATAGTTTTGTAAATTATCTAATTTTTAATGTCCTTACGTAGCATACCAGATTACCAGGTGAATACAAGTAATTTTTAGTGTCCATCAGGTATTTACTTTTTCCTATGATAAAAATTCGCCAAAGAGTTTCACTTTTTCGTAATGAAAATGATTTGAAAAGATAAAAATTTCGCGCCAAGTTATATAAAGTACAAACTAATATGATTATAATAGATAAAAAAAAACTTTCACAAAATTTACTATGCACTCAACAAAAAAAAAAAGAACTATGAGCTCCTATATATGTGTAATTAAAGAAAGATCATGTTATTTATTCCGATGGTACGGAAAAAGAATAATGATTGAGAAACGGCTAATTATTGTTTTGCTCTATAAAGAAACATGAATATCAGGATTAAAAAGAGCTAAAGTGAAAACGGCATAATAATTTGACATACAGTGTCACGTGAACTAATTTGCTTGGTAACGTAAATTTAGTGAGAACTTTGCAAATCTCACTTTCTTTAAATATCTTATTAAAGCAAATTCCAGATTGTCGTAATATTTTAATGATAGAGAACTAGTGGAATTCTCAATTCATTACATTATATTTATATGGTGTATCTAGTTATATTAGTTGTACATCCATATATAACTAAACGCACAATAACTTTTGAATATAATTTTCCAATACATGCAAATTGATTTTGCAAAGTATATAGTCATTCAGATTGATCATTTGTAGTTACTTGGTTGGTTTTAATTAGCACTACGAAATCATCGTAAGCGTCAACATAAGGAAACATGAAGAATAAAAGTGAATGAACTAATCACTAGAAAAAATATTAGTTGAACCCGAAGTTGTCAAATATACTTATTAAATTGTGTAAATAAGTTAAATAAGAGGATTGGTGAAAATCCGCAAAATCGTAAAATGATTAGGTCATTAGTTATGTCATTGTATATATAGAGATGCATACGTAGAATCTAGACATAATCCTTAAAAAAAGAGCTTGCCTAAACTGAGATTGACAAGCATTATTAACATAACTAATTATGTTTTATTTCTTAAGCCAAAACCCAAAAAGGTTATTTTGGTTACAGAACTGTTATTTGTACGTCAAAATGTATACAATTTGGTAATTGTTTAGCGTGTGAATTATTGTTGTAGGTCTTTTTTTGTTATACATCTACAATGACCCAAACGCTTTTTAAAATATATTTTTTCAAAAAATATTAAAAATATTATTGTTCACACAAACATTTCTCCTTTTTCCATCTCCCACACAAACCCCATTCCTCTCTTTAACCCTAACCCCTATATATACGTGAAGTCCCCGAAACACTAAGCTCGTGCCAATAGCTTTTATATTAAGAGATAACACTTACAAATCTAAGTGCTATCTCTCTTCTTCTTCCTCCTAAAAACCCTTAACAACTTATATATATACCAAAAGAAAATCATGAGTCTCTTCAACACTGAAAACACATGGGCCTTTGTCTTTGGCTTGCTCGGTATGATACTAACATTGTGTTCATTTCTTATGAATATTTTTGATCAAGTTCAGCAACCCTAATCTAAATTCTAGAGATTTAATATCGATTTATTAATTAATATCATATTTTTGTTATATTCTTGTATAATTTTCAGGAAATCTCATCTCCTTCGCCGTGTTCCTCTCTCCTGTGTAAGTATTATGTAACAAAACTGCATATGTATGTTAATACATATGATTGAGTTATTAATATTTAGATTTTGTTTGGACGCAGGCCAACGTTTTATAGGATTTGGAAGAAGAAGACAACAGAAGGGTTTCAATCTATTCCTTATGTTGTGGCGCTCTTCAGTGCGACGCTTTGGCTTTACTATGCGACACAGAAGAAAGATGTCTTCCTCCTCGTAACCATTAACGCCTTTGGATGCTTCATCGAAACCATCTACATCGCTATGTTCCTTGCCTACGCTACCAAGCCAGCCCGGGTACGTAAAAAACCTCAGTTTATATGTAAACATGCATGTGGACGTGGTTAATCTAAAATCAAAGGAAGTTGCTAAATAAAACATTTCTTAATGGATGTAGATGTTGACAGTGAAGATGTTACTTCTTATGAACTTTGGAGGATTCTGTGCGATTCTCCTTCTTTGCCAATTCTTGGTAAAAGGAGCCACACGTGCTAAGATAATCGGAGGAATCTGTGTCGGATTCTCTGTTTGTGTTTTCGCTGCTCCTCTAAGCATAATCGTGAGTACTTCGAAAGCGCTAATTAATCAAGTGATTAAATTATGATTTAGTTTCAGTTACTAACAAATATATTTTATGTTTGAAATATAGAGGACGGTAATAAAGACAAGAAGTGTCGAGTACATGCCCTTTAGCCTATCCTTAACCCTTACCATCAGTGCTGTCATATGGCTCCTTTATGGTCTTGCTCTCAAGGACGTCTATGTTGCTGTAAGCCGTTTCATCGATCTCTCTATTTACTAATGAATAAATCTTTTTTGACATGATTATCATGTCTTGAAGCATCACAATCATATGTTTATCATAATCATAACGTATACTACATGAAGTGGGTGCTTTTGTTTCTAATGAACCTGAGACTTTGAGGTTCTAATCATAGATAAAAAGAGATATGGATTGGCAAAAGATAAAAACACAATTAAAGAAAGCAAATCCCTTTTGTTTGGTATCGTCCTTTACGATTAAATAAACCAAATTATAAAGAAACTCCCGCTTTATGTTCCACAGAAACATTAAAAGATTTTGCTTTTGCAAAAGAAGTTCATTATATATTAAGTTCTTTTTATCTTTATTGTTACACAGAAATTATATTTTGTACGTAACTTCTATCGATGCCGCACAAGTTTGCCATAAACTTTACTTTATTTCATTTTTAACGTACTTTATTCATAAGCTAAAAAGTGGAAAAGAATATTAAACTATTATCATGTTATTATTGCCACTAAAACATATATTTTCGTGTTTTTTTTCTGTTGTTGTTGCAGTTCCCGAATGTGATTGGTTTTGCTCTCGGTGCACTCCAAATGATACTCTACGTTGTCTACAAATACTGTAAAACGTCGCCGCATCTAGGAGAAAAAGAAGTCGAAGCTGCTAAGTTACCGGAGGTGAGCCTCGATATGCTGAAGCTAGGCACAGTTTCATCCCCTGAGCCAATCTCAGTCGTTCGTCAAGGAAACAAGTGTACCTGCGGCAATGATCGAAGGGCTGAGATTGAAGATGGACAAACCCCGAAGCAATCCTCTTCTGCAGCAGCTACATGAATAAAAATACGTTGACCATGCAATGTTGACTTTACCCCAACTTGATATACCAACCACCACGTGTACCCCGTTACGCTGTCATATTTTTCTGAGTTTACCAAGTGTGCGAAGTAGAGAATTAATTACCGGAACATATGTAAGCATTTTCGGATGTGATATATGTTTTTCTGGAGTTAATTTCACTACTTCTTTTTAAATTTTATGTAATTATCTATTGGGGATAATGTATATTTCCTATTTTGTGATTTAACTAAAACTATTTAAAATATCCATCAATAATTCTGCCTTTTTTCCTTACAGTTACTACTGTATGTATATATGTTTGTGGTTGCTGTTATATTTCAAGGTATCATATCAATATACAATTATACATATATAAGATTAAACTTTTCTAACTAGCATGCAATATAATATTATATACTTGAAAATTAACGGGGTGTTCTCTTTTGATATAACAAAAAAAGAAAATTCATAAAAATGTTCTATACAGAAAAATATTGGTATATCAATCATAAACTTTTTTTTTTTTTTTCACAAAAAGTGGTATCATTTTATAGCAACTGTTGTTGTAAAGTACCAACTGTGGAAACTTCCACTTACAAAACAAGTTATAAACTTAGATTGGTCCAACTAAAAAAAAATGTAAGGAGTATACATTTTAAAAAATAAAATAAATAAGAGCATTTTGTATGGACTCAATGGGCCAAGCCTTTGTCTAATGCAATTAATATTGGACCACTATCTTACTGGGCCTTCCAATTTCGATTACTTGTGGTAATCTTTTCTCTAATCGTTGTTAACACATTTCTCAAGAGATTGTATAATGTTTCCCTAGCACATTACATCGAGATCTCCATGAATAAGAACGAATCCAATTTTCTTGCTGAAGCAAAGCATAAGCTCTCAATCAAGTTTTTTGCTAACCATTCAACTGCAGCCTGATCAAACTGACCGAGCTGTATTCAAGTTCTCGTTGTCTGAAAACATCAAGAGGAAACTAGTTCAACTACGTAACATTATGATGTGGCGATGATGACAAAGTGTGTGGTGCATTATAAATTATTATGTGTGATTGTAGGACGTTAACGCAAAGCAAGAACTCAACTTTTAAAAGTCAACAAATCTTTATAGACGTTTTGACTTTTCTTCCAACAGATTAAATTTTGTGAGATTGCTTGATCTCAATTGAATCTACCTTTCTCTACATCAAAAAATTTCAAATACATTCATGGTTCGCTGGAAGCTTCCAGAAAATTTTAGATCCGACTTAGAACCTTCTCGGCCGCTGCGATAGTGAATTGGATGTCTTCTGAAGTATGAGCCAAGCTGGTAAAACCGGCCTCGAATTGAGAAGGTGCCAAGTAGACACCTTCTTCCAACATTCCTCTGAAAAACTTTCCAAACTTCTCTGTATCACTCTTCTTAGCATCCGAGAAATCGTAGACGGGTCCTTCTGTGAAGAAGAAACCGAACATCCCGCTTATGTATCCACCACACATAGCATGCCCGGTTTTCTTCCCGGCTTCTAGTATCCCATTTGTAAGCTCTTTTGTGATCTTGTCTAAGTATTCATATGTCCCTGGCTGACTTAACCGCTTCAGTGTGTGAATACCCGCTGTCATAGCCAGCGGATTACCACTTAGAGTACCAGCTTGATACATCGGTCCTGCGGGTGCAACCTGCAAAAAGACATGAGTGATTAGGCTCAGGACTTTCTCAATCTCTTCAAGCAAATTCAAAAGATTATTCCGTTCAATTTCTAACAACTCAAGCTTTACCATTTCCATAATGTCTCTTCTTCCACCATATGCTCCCACGGGAAGACCACCACCGATGATTTTCCCAAGAGTTGTTAAGTCAGGTGTGATTCCAAAGTATTCTTGAGCTCCACCATAGGCTAAACGAAAACCAGTCATGACTTCATCGAAAATAAGAAGAGCACCATTGTCTTTAGTGATCCGGCGTATTCCCTCAATGAACTCTGGTTTAGGTGTAATAAAACCCGAGTTACCAACAACAGGTTCAAGAATGATGGCAGCAATCTCGCCTTTGTTTGCCTCAAATAGCTTCTCAACAGCAGCAATATCATTGTATGGAGCTGTTAGAGTATCTGAAGTAGCTGCTTTGGGGACACCAGGCGAGTCCGGTAGACCCAAAGTAGCCACACCACTACCTGCTTTGACAAGGAAAGAGTTTGCATGGCCATGATAACAACCTTCAAACTTGATGAACTTTTGTTTCCCTGTGAAAGCGCGGGCGAGACGAAGCACACCCATACATGCCTCGGTACCCGAGTTAACAAACCGAACCATTTCAATACTTGGAACAGCTGAAATCACCATCTCAGCAAGAACATTCTCTAAGAGACAAGGAGCACCAAAGCTTGTTCCTTTCTTCATTGTCTCACCCAAAGCTGCAAGAACCTGCACTAGACACATTACCATATCAACTACAAAATCATCAGCCATCTCGAAATCATCGAGATCGGAAAGAAACAAACCTCATCATCAGCATGACCAATTATAGCTGGTCCCCAAGAACCAACATAATCAATGTATTCATTTCCATCAATGTCGCGTATTCGTGAACCCTTTGCAGAATCCATCACAACTGGTTGTCCACCAACTGATTTGAAAGCACGTACAGGTGAGTTCACACCTCCAGGCATTAAATTCTACAGAAAATAACCAAAACCAATTTCAATAATCAGAACACAATGAAACCAATAAAAACACAAACTTTATCTCAGATTATGATTTTATCTCATGTAATCTTATCTTGTTGGCAATGTTCCTTGAAGGGTCACAAAGATAATCAATTTAACCAAAAAATATGATCTAATTCCCCCAAAATCAAAGCAACGAGACATCAATGGGATTCACGGAAATTGAAAAAGCCTAACCTTGGCAGCATTGAAAGCTTCCTCAGATTTCTGAAGAGTGAATTTCTTCGTCTTCTCTTCTACTGAAACGGACATCTTGATGCAGCGACGGTTGGACGAAGAAGAAGAAGAAGATCTCTTAGAGAACTTAGCGGAACACGAAAACCCTAGAGCAATCCCTGATCCAGTAAGCGTCGCCGCCATTGTTGCTATATCTCTACGTGTCTCTGTTCCTCTCTCACTTGGGCTCGTAGCAGTACAGAGATAGTCAACAAGATAAGGCAAAGAGATGATCTTAAGACTTTAGATGGAGCCGACCCGGTGGTTTAAATTAGACCCGGTCCGGTTTGATTCGACCCGGAATCTGAAAGAAGTCAAAATTTTGTTTGTTTGACTTTTTTAACCAATCCGGTCTGATAACTTAATTTGACATATATATTTTTATGCGAATTACATAATTTTTTGTAATTGATACAAAGGAGAATTCAAACTTACATGTATAAATAATGATTAGATTATAATTTTCCTTGATTTTAATTGGTTGAAATAAATCATAATCTGATTTTGAAAATGTATGTTTTTTCTCAGATCTTCATAAGCTCTTCAAACACTTCCATAGCTGAAGTAGGAAGCCCAAGAAACACATTGATACTCTTCATGTCGTTTCCACTTGGTAAGAACAAGATCACTTCCCTCCCTGGTAAACCAACCGGTCCAGAGAAAATCGGTTCTCCCCAACCGAAATCCAGTTTATGCAATGTCAATTTTGACCAGGATGTAATCAAAAGTGTTGCGTTCATACTCGGCCGGGTCCGGTTTACTTCGATGTAGTCCATAGCAGACCTCATGAAACCGTCTGTAACCAACTCGACTAGTCTCTTGACCAAACCCACTGAGTGAGCAAGAGGGTTCCCAACTAATTCTCCTGATGATGTCACCAAACCGGTTAACACAATCCCGTTCCCGCAATATCCTTGCGGGAGACGTGGGATGAATCTTGACCGTCCATCAGCTGCAAACAGAAGCTTAACCCGTTGGTCTGGTTTATACCGTAGAGCCTCGCATCTTGATTTCCAAAGAAACCCGGTTAAGGCTTGAAATGTTGATACCTTACTATTATTATTTTCTTCAACTGCCATGATCTTGAGCTTCTCAAGCTTTTCGGGTTCAAAGAGGAATGATTTGTAGACGAGTTTTTCTTCATCGTAGAGTTTTCCGATGTCGGAGATGTCTTCAATTTCGTCGAACTCATTGTGTGGAAACTCGATTTTGGGAGGGTTTCGTGGCCGGAGAATTGTACGGTCCAAGAAAGGTGGGACGGATAAAGGAAGGCCCTTAGCCATCTCGCACCATGAGTTGAGGAACTCCGCAGCGGCGACTCCATCGAACATGTTGTGGCTCATGCCTAGTCCTAGGACAAAACCCCCACATTTGAAATTTGTCACCTGAAAACAAGAACGAAACATAAAAATTTATCCAAACATGTTTAAAAAAATTCATGCAACATTGAAGAAATGAATCAATACCGATTTAAAAAAAAATGGAATGACATAATAGCCATTTAACTTAACTAACTAATTAATCGTCGTTATTTCCTTTGTTTCCTTACGTATGATTCTAATTAAATGGTGTAATGTACCTTAGAGTTTGAACATGATGAGAGTGACCACTCTAGTTTTTAAGATCGTAAGCGTCAGATCATTTGTTATTATTTTAGTGTGTTCGTTACTACATGATTTTTTTCGTAAAATTGTATCGTTAGTGCTATTCGGGGAAATGTTTATTAAAATTAATGCAAAATTAGATATTTACATATACATAGTATAATTTTTTTGAGAATTATTTAAATTCATATTTTAGTTTTACAAACAAAAAGTATTTTGTCATATATCAATAAATAAGTACAGTATATTTGAATTTTCCAAAGCAAAACTCCCATAAATCTACATTTTGGACATAACATGTGATTGATACTCGAATGGTTAAACTCATTCCTGACATTAAATGCGATCATTTATATCCATTATCAAGTGGCTAAAATAAGCAAATTACTCGCGAACATTATATAGGATAATTGCTACTCTAGTTGCTGCCTATAAGCATGTCGCCGTCATTGTAAATACGATAATTAATACGTCGAGGCAACATTATTTTCCCGACAAAACCTAAGCTTATGTAAGCTAATCAGAAAAACATAATTGTTAAGCAAGAGATCGATCAAAAGCTCACCTGAACTACTACCGGCGGAATCTCAAGAATATTCCGGGCACCTGGAACGTCGTAAACAAGTTTCTCCAGCGTCTCCATTCTATTCTCAGAGATGGCCTCTTTGATCGTCTCTATCCCACAGTTAGCCTCAGCTTCCACAACCACTACTCCTTCTCCAGTGCAATTCACGGCGATCTTTCCTTCCGGACTGATCGTCAGCCTTCCGGCGACAGGGTAGTAATGAACAAGAACCTCAGAGAGAGATTTCTTGATCACATTGTAGGATTCTTGGTTCGTTCTTGACTCCGATTTGTAGTAATATAATGTTTTCACGATGATGGCGATGTTTTGATCGAGATTTGAGAGATAGTAATGACCGTTTGGAGTTTCGGACACAGGAGGGATGAGTTCATGGTTTTTCCTTGTGACTACGAACTCAAATGAGGCCACCATTTCAAGGGTTTTCAATGAAAGAAATTGAAAAACGTGTGGAATGGCTCGAATGAAGAAAGTGAGAAACAGAGAATAGATCTTGATATATAGGGTTTGAACTTCTAATTAAGGGGGTCTAGTGGAGATTAGGGTTAGTGGTATCTTGAGTAGCAAGTGTATAGCTGGAGAGATAAGGTAAGGACCACTTGAGTTTTTGAATAGAATTTATGGAAAAAGTGAAAGACCAAGAATATAACGTGAAATATAGGTTTTTTAGGGAGTTTAAGTAGAGTCTGGAGATTAGGGTTTCGGTATTTAACAAGTGAAGATTATGTAGCTACAAAGATAAGGAGGTGATCGAAAACTTAACAAGGACCACTAAAGATCTGGCTACTTAATTACTTTAAGACCGGTATGGACGGCTGATTGAATAAATACACATATTTATGGGGTAATTGGTTGGCTGATCGATAAGAGTGATATCTAACCATATTTGATGTTACGGCCTACGGGGTCCATTACATGGATTTGTCACAAATGTCAAAGTTGGATGTTTTCTATATGTAATGAAGAGAGTTTTTAATATTAGGTTCGAAATCAATTTTTGATCATTCCTCTGATGATTTGATCATCACATATTCGGACGTCGGAGTATGAAGTTTCAATTGGTAAATATAGATATTTTTTTACTAAGTATGAATTACAATTTTAGTAGAATTATTTTGTTTGTCAAAATATATAGTTTCTGTATTTTTAGATGATTTCATAATATAAATCAGTGTTTTCATCAATTTTGTTTGTTGTCATTGTGAAAGAACATGTGATAATCCTCATATGATAATCAGTGTTTTAAACGCGCGCGATTTCACAATCTTTTTACCAATTTGTTACGGAGTAATTGTTTAAAACGTATAGTGGATTAAAAATACAAACAAAAGTATATTCCACAATTCAATATGCATTTAGTACTTCTGCATCAAACAGCTGAAACTTGGTTTAACATTTAACTAAGTCTTGCACAATATAACATTTTTGTCTTCCACAATACAACTTCAATTACTACAATTTACTAATAAAATAACCAAATTTTCTGTTTTTTTTTTAAAGTTAAATTTTAATAATATCTTCTTTTTTAAAAAAATAAAAAAAATAAAGCTAATGGTGTGATGGACTTAAATGCTCCATGGCTGTTCCAGCTTGTCTAGTTAGCATGTGCTTTTTTTTGTCTAACAGTTATTATATAACATAAAGACCACAAAAAGGAAAAAAAAAAAAAATCCTTTCAAAATCCCCAATAATTAACTCAAATCCACTTATCCACACACTCATGAGTGTCATACTTCGTTTCTTGGTTAAGGTCATCTTGATCTTGACTAGCTTATTACTCTTCAAGAGGTCTTGAGTTTAATAAAATAATAAGTCTTGACTCTTGAAAGCTAAATTATCCAGTTACACATGCATCTGTTAAAAAAAATGTAAACACATTATAACAAAAAAAAAAAAGGAAAACGATATTAAAAGATTAAAAGATTGGTCTCAATATTTGATGATGTTGATATTAATACTGGTGATGCAACAAAAAATACAAATATCATCGATGATCTACGTGAGACCTTGCTTTTGGTTGAGATTTTCTCAAAGCTAAGTAACCCTAGAGATCTTATTGTATGCAAAAGCGTGAGCAAACGATGGAACTCTCTGTTATCTTCTTCTTCTTTCCATTACATACGTAGTTTGGCTTTGGTCCTCAGCAACACACAACCTCAACTTGCTACGAACGACATATGTTTAGAGAGTTGGAAAGGATTCGATTTAGATCATCCGCTTTTTTTTTGTTATATATATTCCAGGCAGGGCCGGCTCTAGGGGTGTGTTGGGTGTGCCAGTGCACCGGGTCCCACTTTTTTTTTTTTTTTTCTCTCTTGTATTTTAGGGTCCAAATTTTTCAAATAATTGCAAATTAGGGTCTAGTTTTAAAAATGTTAAATATTTAGACCATTACGTAAAAAAATTGGAGTATAGCACAGGGTCCAATAATTTGTTGAGCCGGCCCTGATTCCAGGTACAAAGAACACATTGGATGTCTTTAATTTCCGGTTTAGTTTCATTTATGTATTTCGGTTTAGCAAACACGTTTTACTGTTTCAACAGAATAATAAAATTGGGCCGAAGCCCCTTAAGGCCCACAAATAAGAGCGAAAACCCTTAACGAGCATATACTACTCGGAACACCTCTTTTCTCTCGCTCTCTTCCTCTGCAAGGTATTTATAACTTACTTTGCTGCTCTCAACGAACTCTTGTCGGCAAATAAACCGTCGCTGTTTTCATCTTCTCCATGGCCAGTTCCGGTGAAGTTAATTTATTGGGTTTGTTTTGGCTGGCTCTCTCTCTTATCTAATGTGTTAACATGTCTGGGCTACTCTAGCTGAAGAGGTTTTTTTTTTGCTGCTCTTCTTTTTTAAGGTAAGCGAGAGGCAAAAGATGATGATTTGGAGACCAAACCGATTCTGAAGAAACATAAGGACAAATCCGAGGTAACCTAAGATGGTCGTTTTTTTTTTTATAGAATTACACTCTGTTCTAATGGCTCCTTAGAGTCGTGCTTACACACTTAGCTGATAAATTCAGGCAGTTCCCTCAAGACAAAAGACGCTCTATGTTACCTGTCTCTCTCCCCATACTAAAATATCAGATATGTAAGTAGCACCTTTAGTTTCCTCTTTCGTTCTTGGAGCAAGTTTTTCATGACTAATATTTTTTTTACAGCATCGATTTCTTCAAAGATGTTGGACAAGTTGTTAGTGTTAAACTTGCTTTAAAACGCGAGGGTAAGCGTTTGTCCAGTGGCTTTGTTCAGTTTTCTTCTGCTAACGAAGCAAAGAAGGTGAGACTAGTTTATAGTTTAATCATGAAATGTATTTTACTAGTCATTTGAAAAGTACCGTATACTTATGATGCAAATTTTTACAACTAGTTATTTAAAAGTACCTTTGCTAATTAAATCTTTTTATACTGTAGGCGCTGGATAAGAAGAATGGTGAATATTTGTGTGGTAATAAGCTTATTCTTGGCATGGCTACGAAAAAAATTCCACAAACCAAGTAAATTGTTTTCCCTGTTATAGAGATTTTGTTTCTGTAACACTGGTTGTAACTTATTTCTTCGGTTTTGATGCCATTACAGAATACTAATGCTATTATTTTTGTTAATTAGGTATTGCATATATCACAAGGTTTGGTAAGGGATTCAACTAGTTGCCTCTTGAGTTTGTTACCATGAGCACATTAGGTGAAGTTTTTGGTATACATGGAGAGATCACATGGGTTTTTGATATAGCAGGTACGAAGACTACATTCAACAAGAAAGCCTTCCGATTGAAGAAGAGGAGACACCTTCCTATTTTGTTGAGGTAACCGTTCTTATTATCTTCGAAATCTGTCAGGCTCAGAAGAAACGCTCATTGAGTCTACTTTTTGTTGTTATGCAATATAAGCCCTTTTCTCCTTAGAGTCGTGCTAACACTGCACACTTGGCTGTTCCATTCAGGCAGTTGCTGTAAGAAGAAAGACGCTCTTTGTTGCCAATCTCTCTCCCCAAACTAAAATATCACATATGTAAGTAGCACCATTAATTTTTGCTTTCGTTCTCGGAGCAAGTTTTCCATGACTGATATATTATCCTTCCACTTTTACAGATTCGATTTCTTCAATGATGTTGGAGAAGTTGTTAGTGTTCGACTTATTGTAAACCCCGAGGGTAAGCATGTGGGCTATGGCTTTGTTGAGTTTGCTTCTCCTTGCTTAGCAAACATGGTGAGACTAGTTTTGTAGTAATGATATAAAAAGTATCAATGTAATTTGTAAAACATTCAAGCAGTTATTTGAAAGTAGGATAGCTGATTAAATCTTACACACTGTAGGCGCTGGAAAAGAAGAATTGATATAAGATTGGAACCAATCCAACTTATGATCACTCAATGATCAAGAGATTCCAAGCTTAATCCCGCGGAAGGATGGAAACGATGTGGAGATAGTATGATTGACTCGCTCAATCAATGGGTTAATCGACTCACTCGATCAATGAACGAAACAAGGATGTTGAACTTATCAACAAACTTAATTCGCAGATTCAAATAGGCCTAAGAGACTCACTCACTTAAGACTAATGAACAAACGACAAAGACTCAAACTTTGACAAGAAGAAAATGTTCTTATTACTTTAATATGATCAAGGTGATTTACAATGAAGAATGAGCTGAGCTTATATAGGCTCGAAATACAACAGCTCTAATGTCTAAAACAAGAATCAAATCGCAAAATTGAATGAGAAACTAGCCGTTGGAAATTAAATGGCAAAATCCGGCGAAATAAGGAAAGTAGCCGTTAGCTTGTATCTTGAAAGCTTGGGAAGGAAGTGGTGCGTCCTTGGAAGTCTCTTGTGCTCTTGGAGGGTCTCTAAAACGCACTCAAACAGCTGGAGAAAGAGTTGTTGCTGGTTGATCTCCTTTGTCTCCAAACAAGGCAAATAAGGCAAGTTCGGTTCCGGATATGGAAAGTGAAGGTGTGGGAGGATCCGCCTGATCCCATGTGTATTGGTGCACCCTATAGTGTTGTAGGGATCTTCTAGAAATTATAAAGTCTCCTGGGCGCCAATGATACGTTTCGAGTCTCCTAAACCCATAAGGTTCCAAATAAGGCAAGTCGAGGGTCCTCCGGTTTAGAAAATTAATATCTCTCAAACCAAAATTGGTATTGACTTGATTCCAATTCTTCGTGGTTCGCTGATGAGTTAATATTGTATGAAAATTCATTTCGTAGCTTAACTCCTTCTGATCGGGTCGGAATCCTCCAATGACTCCGTGTATGTCCAAATCGGGCAAGCTGGGAATCACCCGACTTGTAAATTGAATAACTCTTTCGTGTGAACTCCTTTTGGGCTGATTCTTCTTCGAGGTGCTCGGTATTTGATCTGAGAATGTATTCCAAGTATTCTCTAGGACGTAGGACATGATCTTGGACTTCGTCTGGACTGAACAAGGCTCAGGGGTCTTCTCCGGTAGGCTGAATCTGGTTTGGCC